CTCACTGCAAGCTCCGCCTCCTGGGTTCATGCCATTCTCCTGCCTCAGCCTCCCAAGTAGCTGGGACTACAGGCACCCGCCACCACGCCCGGCTATTTTTTTTGTATTTTAGTAGAGATGGGGTTTCACCGTGTTGGCCAGGATGGTCTCGATCTCCTGACCTCGTGATCCGCCTGTCTCAGCCTCCCAAAGTGCTGGGATTACAGGCTTGAGCCACCGCGCCCGGCTGGCCACAAGTTTTTAAAAGGAGAGCCCTCGATGTGCCAGGTTTTGTGCTGGGCTACAGCAGAGCCTTGATGTGGCTTGCTGTTCACAGTCCAATGGGGGAGACGAGATAAAGCAACTTCAGCCCCATGAGATAAGTAGATGCTATGATGGGATGAGCAGGAACTAGAGTGTTCCTGACACAGGAAATGGCAGGTACCAGGCCAAGGAGCTAGAGGAGGAGCACCTGGCACCTCTGAGGACCTTGTTTTCCCTCCTTTACTGTGGCAACCTTGAGGAAGTAAGTCATTTCAGGCCATCAGGCCAGGTATGGTGGCATATGCCTGTAATCTCAACACTGTGGGAGGCTGAAGTGGGAAGACTGCTTGAGCCTGGGAGTTTGAGACCAGACTGGGCAACACAGTGAGACCCCATTTCTACAAAAAAAACAAAAATTAGAAGTGCATGGGGTGCACGTTTGTTGTCCCAGCTACTTGGGAGGCTGAGGTGCAAGGATTGCTTGAGCCCAGGAAATCGAGGCTGCAGTAAGCTGTGATTGTGCCATTGCACTCAGCCTGGGCAACAGTGAGACCTTGTCTCAAAAAAATAAAAAATAAAGTCACTTCACCTCTCTGAGCCTCAGTGTCCTTGTCTGTAAAATGGATTATTGCCAGGGTTCTGAGGAAGCGGAAGGTACATGAAGCACTTAGCCTGGGGCCTGGCACACAGATGAAGGTTCAGCAGTGTTGGCTGCTGCTGGCAGGCACTTCCCTCATTCCCTCCGAGGCACCGACAACCCACCAGGGTTCTGAGGCAAAGTACTCGAGGCCCTTCCTGCCCAGGTCCTGTGGGTGGCCAGTGGCAGGGGGCTCTCAGCCAGGGGAGAGAGAGAGGCCAGATCCAGGCCCTGCAGCGGGTGGAGAAGAGGGGACCTCGGCTTCACAGAGGCTGTGGGAGGAGTCAGTGCTCAGCTTCCAGAAACGCTTAATTGAGTCCGGATGCCCAGGCTTAAAACCTCACATAGAAGGTAAAATCCACACACTCACGGTGGTCTATAAAGGGTGTGACCGTATCATTTCTTTTTTGTTTTTTTAGACAGAGTCTCACTCTGTCACCCAGGCTGGAGTGCAGTGGTGTCATCTGGGCTCACTGCAAGCTCCGCCTCCCAGGTTCACGCCATTCTCCTGCCTCAGGCTCTCGAGTAGCTGGGACTACAGGTGCCCGCCACCACGCCCGGCTAATTTTTTCGTATTTTTCAGTAGAGACGGGGTTTCACCGTGTTAGCCAGGATGGTCTCGATCTCCTGACCTCGTGATACGCCCACCTGGGCCTCCCAGAGTGCGGGGATTATAGGCGTGAGCCACCGCGCCTGGCTGACCATATCATTTCTTATTCCAACCAGGCAGCTCTTGAGGATGACAAGGCACTGTCGATAGAGCTGCGGGGACCACAGGTGTCAGCCAGGACGGCCCTGGGCCATGCTAGAGTCTGGGCACCTCACGATTTGGCCCCAGCGACTTCTTGGTCCCGTCCCACTCCACCCTTGTTCCTCATGCTGCCAGGGCCACATGGGGCTGCTTCTCTGTCCACCCTGGCAGGACCCTCTGCTGAGGATGCACTTTTCCTCCGCCCCTCGGGCCAGACCTGGGCAGCCTCCGTCTTTCACTGGGTTTGGCTGCACTCTGCCTCTTGTGAGAAGCCTCCTAGACACATGGGGACACCGTGCTGGCTCCTTCCCCTCTCCCTAAAGCACTGTGGCCCAGCGGACTCCAGGCTTCCCTGACCTGCCTGCCCACTCCCTCCGCTGCCTTCTCCCTGCTGGTGGCACAGAGTCGTTATCTTCTATTTGCCATCTGTCTCCCCCATCAGGCTGAGCCATCCTGGGCAGGCACCCTGTTGGTCTGGTTGCCAGCTGTGTCCTCAGTGGGCACAGGGATGTGAAGAGAATGCATAGGAAACAGGTACTCCAGCTCAGTCCCCTGCCACCTGTCCCCAGCCTGCAGCCCTTTAACCTACCAAATGCACACCTCCCTACCACAGAACTACCCACACTGCCGTCCCCCTGCCGGGGGTGGCTCAAGTCCTGCTCCAGAGCCTGGAAGCCAGGCTAGCAATCCCCTCCACAAAAAAAGACGCTCTGTTCTCCATTTTGCACAAAAATGTATTTCTGTGACATCCCAAAGTACAGACATTTCCCCAGGCCCCAGGGGGTAAAGCAATGAGGTGTGAACTCTGCCAGGGTCTGGCCGGGGCCGCTGAGCGTGGGATGGAAGGGAGCGCTGCATGCAGCCCATCTGCCAAGCTGGGGGAACACAGGGCTGTCGCCCACTTCCCAGGACAGGGAGGGAGAGGCTCCGGGAGAAAAAGGCCAGGTGTCTCTCCCAAAGCTGCTCACCCATCCCGTCCTGCCTGGAGGCGGAAATGCTAGGAACACCTGAAAGCAGGCCGGCAGAGGGAAGAGGGAAGAAAAAGCCATCATCCAAAGGCTGCCTCCAGGGTTAGCGCTGCTCCCCAGGCCCCTGTGATCCACAAGTGTCCGATGAGAAGCAAGGCAGCGTCCACCGAGGGAGGAGCACAAGAGAGCCGGCGCCTCTCAGGCTTCCAAGGTAAAGCCGAGGGCAGGGTGGGACCGCCAGAGAGGCCCAAGCAGCCACTGCAGGGCAGTCCGAGTGCTGGTCTGGAGGCGGCTGTGTGGCCGCTGTGGGTCAAAGGCTGGCGTAGGACCTCTGCCTCTGAGAGGCGTGGGGTCCTCTGGGCAGCAGGGCAGGCTGGGATGAGGAGGCAGGCTCAGTTCTGCTGGTGGGAGCGCCTGGGCAGTTGAAGGCTGTGGAGCAAGGAAGCAAGCCCCTGGCCCCAGAAGATGCTGGCTTCCGGGGCAGGGGGCAGGTTCTGGATGTGTTTTGGCAGAAGGGGCAGTGGAATCTGCCCCCGAGTTCTGACCATCCCTGGGCTGGGGCTTTCCACAGCCTGGGACCTGGTGGGAGACTAGGAGGCAGCCTCCATAGCAGCGTGGCCTCAGGCAGGCCTGGCCGGACAGCAGCAGGGCCACTGGGCGCCCTGCTCCTGGAAGGTCTTCAGGGGCAGGGCTGCCTGGACCTTAGCCTAGGAACAGCTCACTTTCTTGCCCTAGATGGCCCACAGCTGGGAGCACCAAGGCTTCTGGGAGACCCAGTGGGGTAAGTTCTAATCCCCAAACCCCATCAGCTGTGCCCGGGAGCCGAGATGGAGTTCTCAGGCATGGGCAGTGGGTCAGGATGCTGGATACGCTGTCCAAGGCCTGCTCCTCTCATGAAAGGAAGCCAGACTGGGGTCTGAGTTTCCTGGACAAGGACTGGACACTCACAGCGTTATAGGCATTTAGTCTGGTTGGGGTAGGAGTGAGTGTGTCAGCGATGAAGGCTGAGTGGGTTTGAGAATGGCCACGGAAGCTGCAAGGACTCAGGAGTGTTGCTTTTGTTTTTGTACAGAAATCATACACACAAAACTTCACACTTCCTAACCAAAAAAAAAATATATATATAATATATATATCTCACTAATGTTAAGGAAAAGCGTCGGTTGTGCAAAAGTCCCCCATGTCTCTTCACTCCGTGGGGGGCTCCCTCGGAAGGGGACTGCCCGCTGGCTGCTTGAGCACGCTTCCTCCCCGCCTGTGGTCCAGAGCGGTGGTGGCCATGGGGGTGGAGGCCTCTATCTGGATGTGTCCATGTTTTCCTCTTTAAAGTTACTGCAGTGCTCAATCACCTTGCTGGAGACAATGAGGGAGACAGGATTGGAGGGTGGGCTTGGCTGGGGTGAGCCCAGCCCCTCCGAGGTCATCACGCAGCTGGGTAAACACGTGTTCACAGTGATGGTGATGCTGACTGAATGATGTGGATGGAGGGGTTGGCAGAGTGGCTGGCATGTGCAGGGGACTCAGGGAATGGCACCTGTGGCCGTGAATGCCATCACCAGCTGTCCTCCGCTTCCTTCCTTCCCACCACCCCCAGTTCCAAGGCATCTGTGGATAGGGGTCCCCAAATCAGCTCAGGCCTGACCTCCAGAACCCTTTGGAACTTTCTTCAGTGACCTCTTCCTTCTTCATTTTCCCTGCACACCAGACCCTTCTCTTTCCAGAAGTCCACCAGTAGTCCCCAAACTGACAGCACATCAGATTCCCCCAGAGGCCCGGATCCAGTGGCAGGTCCAGGGTGGGGTGGGGGCAGCTGTGTTCGCACAAGGGCCCCCACTACCCTGTGGCAGCTGGGGCCCAGCACTCCAGCTCAGATTTCAAGTCTCACCCGCCCCAGCCTGACCCCTGCCACCCATCACTGTCAGTTGTCACCTCGGAACCCGGAGAGCTTGCCCATTCAACACCAAGCCTGTGGGTTGGGGGCTTCACTGCAGCCTCTATGTGTTAAAGGGGTGCCCCAATACCTTTTAGGAAGCAAATTCCCAGAGTGGGAGAGGGGCCAGTGGACAGGCCGAGGGCCTTCTCCTAAGCATCGTCCAGGGTCATTTACTCCTTGCTGTCAGATAGGCCAGTGCCTCAGATTCCCATCACAGGCCTTGGACACATGTTCAAAGTGACTGTGGTAGGTAACTGGTCAGTCTTACCCAGTGCTTCTCAAATTTCCCGGGAATCCCTGTTAACCATGAAAATTCCAGGGCCACCTCCCACCTCCCAGATGCACTGGAAAAGAAAACCTAGGGGTGGGTCCTGTCCATTTATTCTTAAATTTTATTTTTTTGAGACAGAGTCTCGCTCTGTTGACCAGGCTGGAGTGCAGTGGCACCATCTCGGCTAACTGCAACCTCCGCCTCCTAGGTTCAAGTGATTCTCCGCCTCAGCCTCCCAAGTGGCTAGGATTATAGGTGCGCACTACTACGCCCAGCTAATTTCGTATTTTTAGTAGAGATGGGGTTTTACCATGTTAGCCAGGTCTCGAACTCCTGACCTCAAGTGATCCACCCACCTCAGCCTCCCAGAGTGCTAGGATTACAGGTGTGAGCCACTGTGCCTGGCCAGCAGTGCCTTTGGGCAGATATAATAGAACCAGGTGACATTTCCCTGCCCGGGCCCAGGAAGTGGCTGTCTGAGGAGCCTCTGAGTTCCAGGCCCCTCCTCCATGTGACCTTTTGCTCTATACAGAGACATGAAAAAGTGTGCTGGGTCAGCATGACCGTTGTCCCTTCTAGAATGAATCCTGGAGAAAACAAGGTCGTTTCTGACGATTTCGACATGTCACATCCCTGAGAGTCTCTCCTGTCCTGATTGACTTGAGAACTGGAGGGAGTGGCATTTTAGACACTGCAGTGAAAGCCACACAGCCACAGAAGGCCGGGACTCTACCATGTTTGCGACCTTCACATTCAGCAAGCTCACTTGCACTCTGCCTCGTCTCATCTCTAGAATGTATTTGACCATACCATGTCCCTTCTTTAGTGGGAACGTCTTTGGCCAAACATAATGAAAAGTTCTGACCTCACTTGCTAATACCCGGTGATAAAAGGATGGAATTTGTTGGGAATAAAAGAAAACGAAGCTTACAAACGAGGGCCCTGATGCTCCGTTCAGAGCTTGGTCATCTAGTTTCCAGCCATACTGTGGTCAAGATGACATTTGGAGAGGCCCCAGCTGGACATCAATACACTGTCAACCTCTGTACTAAACCCCAAGCTGCCCCGGGAATTTCAGTCATTCCTAACCTCCAGAGGGCGCCTGCTATGCCCTTACTCCCCCAAATCAAGGTTCCAGGCAGAAACACACTGCTAGTCTCTTACCGGGCCATTTCCTTGGTCTCCTGCCGTGCGGTCGCCATCTTAATTATGTCCCTCAGAAGGGGCAACCCCCCTTCTTTGATCAGCAGAGGGCAGTACTTGTCCGCTGTGGGATAGGAGCAGACAGCAGAGGATCAGGATGGTCTTCTGATCAGCCCGAGGCCCAGAAACCCACCCTGTCTGTGAGGACTATCCTGGTGCTGGGGGTGTGAAGGCACAGGCCTTGGTGGGGGCAAGACATGTGTGCCCAGCCCCATGGGTGGGAGTTCTGCATCCATGTAGGGGAAGCAAGAGGTGACTCCTTGGTTTGAAGTTGCTGTATTTATTTCCAGAGCTCATTCTTTTT